ATCCTCAAGGCTGATACTGCACCTGAATCCAAGGCTCTGATTTTGTTGAGTCTTCCTCTTGCTTTGTTCCACTTTAATCCTGAGGGTTGTCTCTACTAATAAAACAATCTCCAGTGGTATAAAACATCTGTAAGTGTCTCTATGTCATGCCTTCACTTCCTCCTATCTGCCAGCAAACAATTACGTCTTTGGCTTACTGAAGTCCTCTGTCCTATTAGCAATGCCCTGTCTACCAGGATAAAGGCCCTCTGGAGTTCTCTGGTTTATGCTGGTCTTCTCCAGCCATGAAACTAGGAAGGAATGCCTAGTAGAAGCTACCACTGTCACATCTGCTATCAAGTGCTCCTTGGCTGGCTCCAAATTACAACCCTTGTGTGTCTATATTTCCAACAGGACAGCTGAGGCAATGCTCGGAGTCTTTGTTTGCTGCTGCAAAGGCTAGACTGGAAGGGTAAAAAGTGTGTGGAGGGGAGCAAAGGGAATGAGGAGAGACTACCCAGAGGGTATGTTGGAAATGCACTGACACAGTCATCAGAGTGGAAGCCAACAGGCTTAACCTGGTCACCACAAAACAAGCCTAATGCTTCTTTTCTCCCTTGCAAAGAACCGGACTGCTTCTGCTCTGCCACATCTCCCGACCATGAAGGATCCCAGAAGAGAAATCAGGCCCCATGGCTGTCTAGGTTGGACTTTGTTGTGTTTGACAGCTGTTACTGTTCATGTCAGTGCTGCTCTTCATTAGTATTATTTCAGTTCACAAAGAGAATGATGCCAAGTCCTTAGCCACCGTTCTTGGTACACCAGTAACATGCTACCACAACACAGTGTCAGACGTTAGAATATGCTCATCCCTAGTGACTATCTTTTCCAGCAGAGTATATAGTCTGACTTCTTTCAAGCAAACAGACACATTTTAATGAGGAGAAGACCGGCCGGTTAAGGGAGAGATGAGGCAAAATTTGACATTATATGTGAAACCATGAGTGCATTTGTAGGTCATAAAGTGAAAATGCTTCAAGTATTAGTGCCAGGCGGTTCACAATCTTAAAATGCTAGAAGCCAGCTGACATATGGCACCGTTTCCATACACTGGACAGATAACACCCTGGATTCTGACTCAAGAAAATAAAAATGTCCTTAATGTTTTTAAGGTACTAAAATTTAATGTTGCGTTTTTAAATAGATACTTGAGTAAAACTAGACTGAAGGATAGTCTAGGGATCTAAGTTTATGTTGATTAATATCTGCTTACACTTCTTCTCACTGCTGCTGTCATATTGATCAAATGCACTATTTAAATTAAATTTCCTGATCTGAAAGTATATTCCTATCTGCACTGGAGAAATAGAATTGTCTCAAAGCCATTTATTGTATTTAATTGTATGTGACTGAAAATGCTTTTAGGAATTACAAGAAATGCACTCTTGGTTAAAATGGAAACATCTTTGCTTCCACTGTTAACTTACAAATCAAAATGAACTCAATAAAGACTATTAAAACAGTGAAAAATTAGATTAGTAGTTGATGGATGCGTAGCAAACCCTGAGTTTCTCACTCAGCTATTGCCAAACCTCCCTCTGAAACTACCAATAAAAAAAAAATAGTCCAGATTCTCTGTCTACAGTCCCATGTGATACCAACAGTGCTGAACTTCATCAGAGGCTGACTTTAAGCACTTCTCTTCCTATGTCTGCCAAAATACCATGCTATAGATTCCTACTGCAAAGTAAGGTGACTGGAGGTTACACAGCTTCAGAGAAGCTCACACCTGAAAGAGATGAGCTCCTGCGTCCTTGCAGTAGCCCAGACAACTTGTCTGAAACAGGCATGTATGTCTGCAAAGACTGCACAACATCTTCAGTAGGGAACAGCTCTACCAAAGTGGGAATCGGAATCCCTTGTAATGTGCTTGTGACACATTACACAGAGGATGTGTGCTGGCAGGACCAGGAGCTCTGCCATGAAAATCATGAATTAAAATTAGAAGAGGAGTTTAATATTACTTTTTTTACTTTTTTTTGCCAGTGGAATTGATTTCAGGCCAACAAAACTGTTTTGCTTCTTCTGTTTTACTCTGCTGCATAATTGAAGCATTTCAAAAATACTGCAGAATGGTGACCGTGAAGACTGAATTCAAAAGAAGCATTCCT